CCACCCCTCACTGGACAGAGCTGCCAGTCTGCTTCCTTCTCAAGAGGTGGGTAGACACCCCCACTTCACAGAGCTAAAAAACGGCGGTCTCCTGCCACAAATGGTTCCACGTTGGGTCGGGGACCCCCGATAACGTGTGGTGCCAGGCAGACCTACTGAAAAGGGAGGTAAAAATAGTATCAGTAATGATTTAAGAAATGATAATACTATGCAACATTTACGGGATACCAGACACTCCCATATTCCAGGCCAGGAAACCGAGAGTGCAGGCAGGTGGGGTGACTAGTCCAGAGTCCCACGAGAAATAAGTAGGTGCTCGACCCTGTTTCAGGCCGGCACGGCCGCCCGAGGAGGCAGACCTATGATCGCCCCGGGGCCGGGGGGCGGGGGAGGCGCACGGCGCAGCTGGTGGTGGTGCCGGGCTTTAGCGTGCGCGGCATCTGAAAAGGGTTGATTACTGCCACGCCCCAGCGCAGGGATGGTGGTAAATGGTCCGAAGTGGGGCTGGATTCGAAACCTACAGAGGAGCAGAACTCGGCGCTCGTTCTCCTCCGCAGCTCTCACGCCTGCTGTGACCAGAGCCGGGGAGGTCGCCCGGGCCTGGCCCGCTGCCCTCCAAGCTTCAGGCTGGCGGAAGGCACCGTGCCCGCCGCCATTTCTCCCCCTCCGCCCAACCCGGGAGGTCCTTGTCGTGGGCTCTTCCAGGGGACTGCGTCCACTTAGGCTCTACCCACACAGCAGCCCTCGGGCCGGCCTCTCGCGGCTCTGTGCCTCGACTAGCTCGTCTGTAAAGTGGGAGCCAAGGAGGGCTCAGGCGTCGGGCAGCCTCGGCCCTCCGCGCAAGGCCCCTTCGCTCCGGCCCTGGCTCCACGGGTCCTGACCTCGGTGGGCGGGCGGGAACCGTGGAAAACCGTTTTGATTGTCTAGAACTTCACAGGCACGGGATCCGCCCCGCACAGAATCTCAAGCAGTGACCCTGAATGCCCGCTCTCCCCCCACCGCCCCGCACGGCGGCTCAGGAAGCGGTCTCCCAAATGCCTGGGAATGGGCCCGCGCCCATCCAGGCCGGACCTTCCCGCTCCGGCCCTCACGGCGCAGGTACGAAAAATGAGCTCAGAGAGGGCAGCCTCTGCCCGAGGTCACACAGCGGAGGGACGGTGTGGGGGTGGGAGGAGCGGCGCTGCGGAATTCCAGGCGGGCCTTGGCGCCCGCGAGTCTGCCCGCTTCTGATACCCGGGTTCGAGGGGATAGGCCGCTAACGAGAGGCCCATTAGGAGGAATTGTCACTCCTCTGGGAGCGAGGTTGTCCCATTAGGGCGAATTGTCATTCCTCCCGGAGCGAGGTTGTCCCGGCTCCGCGCAGGCTGAGTGCCGGGGCCGAGAGCAATTAACGCGGCTCCGGCGCGGGCAGCCGCCTCTGCCCGGGGCAGCCGGGGCGGGGCGGGGCGGGGGCGGGGCGCCCGGCGCGGCTGGAGCCGGTCACCCGGCGCAGCCCCTTCCCCTGGAGCCCGCCTTTCATCTCCCCGCGCCTGGCGCCTGCCCGCAGCCCTGGCCCGTCTACAGCCCCCTCCTCCGCCCCTCCCCCGCCTCCTCCCAGCCGCCGGGATCCGGGGATGGGTCCCGGGGATTGCAAACGCTGCGGTCCGCGGGCCGTGCTCCTCGGTGTGCAAGGAGGGCTTTCGCGGAGGACCCGCGGTGCGCGTGCGCCGCCGCTCCACTCAGGGCCCCAGCGGCTGCGAACGGCCGGGCAGCGCGGGAACGCGGAGAGCCGCGGCTCGGCGCGCAGGGGCCTGCGCGGCTCCCGGAGATCCCGGGTCCCCTGCGTCTTACCTGCGTGACCTGGGGCAGCGTACTAAGCGCCTCTTAGCCTCAGGTTTCCATCTGTGAAATGGAGGAAGTAATCTCCAGCCAGCGCGGTGTGCTGGATCCTGGAGCACAGGTCCAGGCACGAGAGCGCTGTGCCGACTGACGCCTAATGGTGGCTGCGTTCGCGCCGGGGCCCCACTTTGCTGCGCGCGAGCCTTTCTTGAAGGCCGGCAAAGCGCCGAAGCCAGCCCTCCTCCAAGGGGCTGCACCCACTCCGCCTGGGGACGAGACACCTCTCAGGTCGAGCCAAACTCTCAGCCCCGGAGATTTTACAAAGCGCCCACCGTGAGCTCCGCGAAGGCGGGCGATGCCCCTCACTTTGGCCATCTGGCAGGGAGAACGCAGTCGATAAATAGTTACTGCTCTTGATAGGCAATATCTTTTTTATTGATTGCCCTACATCTAGTGATTTTATGTAGCCCCTGAGTTTAATCACCACAGAGCCGATACGGGTAGGAGTCATTCCCTCTCCCTTCGGAGATTAAAAAGCAGTTTGAGGGAGGGAGGCGAGGGAAGGTGGCCACGGTCGCGGGGCCAGGAAGCGGTGAATAAAACGCTCTGAAAACGCAGCCCACGTAGGAGCAGATACACAAGGGGGCTCCCCAGAAAGGGTGCGAGTGTGCTGCGGTCCCACCCTTCTCCCAGCAGGATGGAGCCCCTTCCTTGAATTGCCTCCGCCCCAGCAGCGAGCAGGGGCCTAGGGAGCGAGCGAGCTGGCAGGACAGGAGCGGAGCAGACTGGCTGCTCCCTGGCCATCTCTCCTGCTCGCGGCCCAGAGGCTGGCACCCTGGTTCCGAACACCAGGCTTTGCTTTTTTATTTTTAATTTTTAAATCTCTACCATTTTCCTATTTCTGGCTTCATAAATTTCCTGCTCAGTCTGGGCATCAGGATCCTAGAGTAGTGGGGAGAACCCAGCTTCTCCTTTCCCTGAAAAGTTCATCAAAATAAAAGGGCTCTAGCAGTATGGAGTTTTCCTCTCCCAGGCATGCATGCACTGTGTCTCTAAACTGACAAATATTAACAAGGAGTTTGCAGTAACAACTATGAGGGGAGGGGATGGTGGTTGGGGAGAGCCCCACTGGCAGCTGAGCCCTCCTGTACCCTGTGGCAGCTGGGGGCAAAACGGATCCCAAGTTCGCTTCCCAACTCCGGAGGGTTCACCTCGCTGGGGACCTCTAGAAGGCGCAGAGCCCAATCTGGATTTACCTGTACTGGACCTGAGATCCATATCAAGCCAACTACCATCAAGGATGACTCAAGGGGAAAAAAGCATACATTTCCAGATAGCTTTCATAGTTGTTGTTGTTTTTAACTTTCTCTGATTTTCCACTTTGTCGAAGGAAGAGAGAGAGACAGACAGAGAGAGAATGAGAGAGAATGTGCTTGTTCCTAGTGGTGGGAGAGGGGCCCAGGCATTCCAGAAGGCCTGAGTTAGAACTTCTTTATTTTTAACTTATCAGGACCCCTTCTGATCACCAAGAATTAGCTGGCCAGCGCAGGCTGTTTTTATACTCCGAGGCTCAGGCAGTGCCCGTTGGGTTATCCGGATGCAGCTCAGTTTCACGCCAGGCGGAGGCCTGCCTGGGTGAAGGGACGGGGCGGCACCCAAGTGTTCCAGCAAGGGGGCCTGGGGGTCAAGTTTCTAAGCCTCTTGAAGTGAGGGGGAGCCTCCAAGCTTTGGCCATTTCGATGCTGACAAATAGCGCCCTTTCCCTCCAAGGCTCTGGGAGCTGTTGAGCAAGCACATGCAGGGTGCAAGGCCCTGAGCTGGGAGACCTCTGTATACGTCCTCACTTGCAGAATAATGGTTCACATACAGGGAAAAGCAGCCGCAGGCTGGAAAGAGCCCTTTAAACCCATGGGCCTAGGCCCCGTGGCCTACAGAGATCCCAGGCCTCTGTGCACTTGAAGCCAGCTCTCCGCTTCCCTGGCCTGAGCCACTCATCACTAAGGTTTGAGATGTAATTACTCAGGGTATAATTTGGAGTGGGGTGGAGATATCGATGTTTCTTTTCTTCTTCTTTTCTTTTTTTTTTTTAACCAGGTGCAATGAATTAAAATGTGCTTCCCCAAAAGGTCCATAGGCCTGGGGTGTGCAAACTTGGAACCGTCTATTTCTGGGATTTGCAAGAGGGAGTAAGGCATTAGATATTATCGTGCCTTTTCCTCCCTTCTCCTCCGTCTTGAAGGCAAACACTGGCATCTGAACACCTATCTAACAAACACAGGCTCAGACAAACGCACAAATACACACAATACGTGCAGCCTGGAGGAAAGGTCCGGTGGGATACCACCCAGGAAAGGGGGTTCAGGGAAAAGAAAACACGCGGACTCCCAGCTCCTCGGTGCCCCGGTTTCCTTTTCGAGTGGAAGGCGTGGGGCCACTGGTTTAATTTGTCCAGTCGGAGCTGTTTGGGGGAGAGCAGCCCCGACCACCTCTCGGGCTCGCTGCGGCCCCCCTCCTGCCAAGGGACTGACAGGACTGGCGGGCACCTTTGAGGACTTGCTAGGAGCAGAATTCGCGCCGAAGCGCCCTCCGTTTGTTATTTGCTTTAGCAAGGCAGGCTGGCTCGAGTTCAGTGCTGGCTCCTCAAGTTGCAAAGTTAGCCCCGCTTTGGCGCGTAGTAGGCGCTTCATACACGTTTTTGCAAAAGCGGTTGCAGACTTAAAACGCTTTCTGGCCGAGGTGGGGTGGGTGTAACACAAACGCGGGGTATCTTTTCAAAAGAGGGGTCAAAAAAGAAGAAATGGGACTCGGCGAACTTCCTCTTTAAATAATCGGCCTTAATTACGCCTTGGACTTTTCAGTTTTGGCGTGATTATAAACCTTGAGGGATCGCCTAATAACAACTCTGCTGACTGCTCCTGTAATTAACTCCTAATTTATTTCAAACGGGGGGTGGGGAGGGGTGAAGGCCCCAGCCTCCGCAGGAAAGGCCAATGGGAGGCGAGCGTTCGTGACGTCAGCGCCAGGGCCGGCGCGGATTGGCCGATCCGAGTCTCCCACTTCCCCTTGGAGGAAAGACTCGGCTCCCGGAGCGCCCCTCCCGACTCCCCCCCAAAAAGTTTGAGTCGCCGCTGCCGGTCTGCCAGCCGAGTCGCGCGCCGGGAGCTACGTGGGGCAGAGAAGTCATGGCTTCTCCGTCCAAAGGCAATGACCTGTTTTCGTCCGATGAGGAGGGCCCGGCGATGGTGGCGGGGCCGGGCCCGGGGCCCGGGAGCGCCGAGGGGGCTGCAGAGGAGCGACGCGTCAAGGTCTCCAGCCTGCCCTTCAGCGTGGAGGCGCTCATGTCGGACAAGAAGCCGCCCAAGGAGGCGTCCCCGCGGCCAGCCGAAAGCGCCTCCGCCGGGGCCACCCTGCGGCCACTGCTGCTGCCGGGACACGGCGCCCGGGAAGCGCACAGCCCCGGGGCGCTGGTCAAGCCCTTCGAGACCGCCTCGGTCAAGTCGGAAAATTCAGAAGACGGAGCGGCGTGGATGCAGGAACCCGGCAGATACTCGCCGCCGCCGAGTGAGTGCGCGCCCGAGCGGGGACGGGGGGTACTGGAGGGAGCCGGGACTGGTTTCCAGGCCGGGGATACGCGGACCCCTCTGCACTGTGCGCCCCAGAAAGCAGGCACCGCTGGGCTTGGCCCCTTGGTATCCCCGGAGTTCAGCGCGCCGGCCGCATCCAGGACGCTCCGCTCGCCGCGTGATCCGGGTCCCCTCGCTGTGCAAAGGGTCGCACCCGGCTGCGGACTCGCTGCTCTGGGGAGGGCGAACCCTAGCTGGGTTTGCGGGGTCGCTTGCTCATCGGTGTCTCTAGCCCCCGGCACGGCTTTTCGGCCGCCTCGCTTATTTTTGTCCCACCGCCCAGCGGGGTCACTTGTCTGGGGAGCGAAGGGGCTGTAAAGTTCACAGTCTTCCTGCGCCCTCCTTTTAATTGTGAGCTAACTGAAATCTAACCCGGTATTAGCCGTAAATCATTGTCTTCCGTGGGTCCCGCAGGTGTCGAAGCAGGATCCCGCGAAGGGAAGGTGGCCGAGGCCGATGCGGGAGGAAATGTCCTCGCGGCCAGCGAGTCCTGAGCTTCGCTGGGAGCGGGCTGGGGTTTGAAGGGCAGGGTGCGGCGCTTGGCTCATAGTCGTAATTAACAGCCTTCCAGGAGCGCTGGGGAGTTTACAAAGTGATGCTCAATAGGTCATCAGACCCCAGTCATCGCTGGGACCCCAAAGCGGAGGCAGAGGCAGGGACCTGTGTTTGTCCCCTTTTTCAGACACCAAGACTTTATTTGAAGAGGACTGAACTTGCTTGATGCAAGTCACCAACAAGGGCTGAGCTGGGCTGGGGGCCCTGAAAGCCCTGTGTGTCTGCAGGGTGCCCTGGCCGCCTCTGACCCTTCTCCCCAGAGACATGCCACAGAGGTCGGCACACCTGCACCCGCTTCCTGCCAGTGAGGCCTGGGAGGCCGAGCTCTCCTCCAGCGTTGGCATCCACTCTTGGGCCCCGGGTCCTTCTGCAGTTTGGAGAAGCTGTTCCCCCACGGCTCCTCTGACTTCTGTCTCGTGGTCTCCAAGAGTTGTCTCCCCTCACTGTACCTCTTGGAAAGGTGGGAAAGAGGGGGCTTGTGGGGGGGGGTTCCAAGCCTGGAGGGAGAACCCCATCTTTTTCCATCAGTCAGCCCTCAAGACGGGAGGCGCACAGTATTCTGTGAACAAAACAAGGCCATATACCCACGTCCCTTCTGGCATCTCTCTCCACCCTCTTAGAAACTCCAAAAGATTCAAAGGGTGTGGAGATTAAGGACTCGAAGAATTTAGACACAAGTTTGCTCAGTGCTTTACAGCACTGTTAAGCGTATTATCTTATCTGATCTGTGTGGCAGCAGCTGGCCCCCTGGTTGCAGAGGAGGACACCAGCCGAGCTGAGGGGGAGCCAACACACTGTGAGCTCGGGCTTGACGAAAAGACACTAGGGGACACTGAATGACAGGGCTCTGGACACGATGGAATTCCTCGCTGTGACCCTCCCTGTACCCGCAGTATCGGTTACCCATTTTGTTGATGGTGAAACAGAGGCTCGAGAACTTTAAGGGACTTAATAAGTTTGACAAATAGTGAGTGCCCACGCCTCCCTAGGCCCAGGCGATGCCCTGCGGCACATCCAGGTTTCAGGCCTCACGGGGAGTGGGGTCCAGAGGTCAGACGTCCTGCTTCCTTGGGCCTCCCGGGCCTGGGATGGCCATTCCCCACTCACTCGGTAAACAGCCCTCAAACAACCGCAAAGTGGGGTCCAGCCTCCCTGCTGAGTAAGTCAGCGTTGGGCCCTGGGTATGACCTTCCCGTGAGAAACATGGGAGATGGCGAGAAAGGATTTCCTTTTAAAACAAAACGTGGCTTATTGGTGCTTGGGGCCTGGAGAGGCCGTGGGAGCAGAGGTGGGAGCCGTGGGTCTTGGGAGCTCCTGGCTAGCGCGCCTGGGGCGGGAGGGAGCCACCCGCCTGGGCCTGGTTTTGTTATTCAGAGGAAGTAGGATAAATGCTGTTTTGCTTTGTATAATCGCATCCTTCCTCTGGCTGGTTTAAAATGGGGTAGGGTGGGCTGGGAGGGAGGAGCGGTGGGCTGGGAGGGAGCCTCCTAACTTTCTGCCTTTGATGCACGTGTGCGATCCGGGTCTCCTGGATTTCATAATTCAAACGCGGCCCCGAGCAGCAGCCAGAAGGACCGCGCTGGGAGTCGGAGCTGCTTCCGAACTTAGGGCAGGACGAGCATAGACACCGGGAGCTCAGCGTCTGAGCCCCGAGATTGCTGGGTCCTCCTGAGAGCCAGGCCGGGTCTGTGAAGCCGGAGGATTTCGCAAGTCTAGGAGTCTCGGATGGATGGCGTGGTTAGTTTATTTGTAAATTAAAGAGCAGGTGCCCTGGTTTACTTAGAGATTAGCATATGCAAAAGGGACACTTCTGTGGTCGCTTCTGACCCACCCTTCTCCCAGGTATCTGGGGGGTTTTCTGTCTGGTTTTTTTTTTAATTGCAGAACTTACTATCTCTCTCTTTTTTTTTTTTTTTTTCAGTGATGGCTAATAATGTCACACTGGGACAGGTCCATTTCTTGGAAATGGAGGCTGGGTTGGGACGTGTGCTGTGTCACCCTCAAGTATGAAGTGTAAACTCTTCCTTGGGCCACCAAAGTAACAAAACAAGAAATGCGACATTCTCCCCTTGAGTCCTTTGGAGTTACTGCTGTGGCCACATTTGGAAAATTAGCATAGCTCATAAAAGCCAACTACGGCAAATTAATTGTTTAGCATTCTGTCCCCCAGCGCCACACTGCTCTCTCCCCCTCCCCTGGCGGAAAAGGAGCCCAAAGTGAGCTGTCGTTGTGGAGCCTCAAGGGTGGCCGGGCCTGTGACTTCCTATAATTGAATCCAGTTTAAATATGGAGTCTGGATGCTGCTGGCATACCTTTATTTTGCTTGTTATTCCCTCTCCCTAAATCCTGGCAACAAGCTAATCATTTGCACATTGGCTCTCCTCTAGAATGGGCACAGATGACTAAGATGTGTCATCACATGCTCCCAAGTCGGAGGTAGCGTGATCTCCCCCGACATTTACATTTACATTTACGGGCAGGCTAATTTCTCTCCCCTTCTTAGTCAAGTTTATATTGCAGAAGCACCCGGCCAAGAAAACGTACCCCACATCCAGATCTGTACAATAATGTTCAGGTTTTATAATCTGCAGCCTGGATGGAACAACAGCTGTGGTGGGTTGCTGTGTGGGGCTGCTCCCCAGCCGCAAGATGCTACTAATGTATCGCAGGCCCCAGCTGCACGGTGTGATCATCCCTGTCGGAGTGTGATACAGCCCAACCGTCCTGGTGCGGGGCGGGCCGGCCGCTTTGTCGGGGGACCCTTTGCGCTGTCCTTCTCATACGTGGTTCTGTCGGCATCCAAGGGGAGTGAGGACGGTTCTGGACGCAGCCCCCCATTTTAGAGACAAGAGAAACCAAGCTCAGAAGAGATGGGGTTTTGTTCTCCGGGACCACTTGGCTCCCTTGACATAGGAGGGGTTGCTTGTTTTGTACAGAAAGTTCTGTGGCACCATTATATTCCCAAACTTTTTGTTAAAAGCCTCCATTTTTTTTCAAAAAAGTAATTTATTCATTTAAATATGGTCCTTCTCCACTCCTACTCCCCATCCCCCACCTCCTGAACACACCTGCTTTTGACAGGGGCATCTCTTTGAAGGATGAAGAGGAGGCCCTGTCCCGTGGGCCTGCACACACACACTCCCCTACCCCCGCCCCCGCCCCGCCCGAGAGAAGGCCACGGGCTTTGCTAACTCACTGCCTCTCTGTCCTCCAGGACACATGAGCCCCACCACCTGCACCCTGCGGAAGCACAAGACCAACCGGAAGCCGCGCACACCCTTCACTACGTCCCAGCTCCTGGCCCTGGAGCGCAAGTTCCGGCAGAAACAGTACCTCTCGATCGCGGAGCGCGCCGAGTTCTCCAGCTCTCTGAACCTCACAGAGACCCAGGTCAAAATCTGGTTCCAGAACCGGAGGGCTAAGGCGAAAAGACTGCAGGAAGCAGAACTGGAAAAGCTGAAAATGGCTGCGAAGCCCATGCTGCCCTCTGGCTTCAGCCTCCCTTTCCCCATCAACTCGCCCCTGCAAGCAGCCTCCATATACGGAGCGTCCTACCCTTTCCATAGACCTGTGCTCCCCATCCCGCCCGTGGGACTCTACGCGACTCCAGTCGGATATGGCATGTACCATCTCTCCTAAGGAGGACTGCTCCGGGGGCCCAGGACGGAGGCTGGTTGGAGGGCCCCCCTCCCCCGCAGGAGGCGGCACCGAGCAGCCCCCTGCTCGCAGACCCTGCATGTCCCGCCGCCCTGAGCAGCCGCGACTGGGCCGCTGCTGGACTTTGCTCTTTAGGCCGGAGACGCCAAGTCCCGCTTTCTCAGTGTGTCGTCCAGACGCACCCTTCTCCTTTCGCAAAGATTGGCTCTGGCGGTTTTTATATATAAATATATATGTAATAAAATATAATACATTTTTATACAGCAGACGTAAAAATTCAAATTATTTTGAAAGGCAAAATTTATATACGTGTATGTAGGTACACTTTTTTATATGTATATCACCTAAAAGAGACTGCTTAAATCCATTTGTTTTTATTCTATGGGGAGAGAGACAAATTATTTTCTAAAATGGCTGAAATTCAGTGATTTTGGTGGGATGATTGGCTTCCGCTTCAGGCAAACAAATACTAGAATTAGACACCAAGTGCAGGTCTGGAGAGATTCCTCCAAGTGGTCGGGGCAGGTCACGTGTGTGCAGTCTTCCACGCATTCAAAAGCTAATTAGACACCACTAGATTTGGCCCTGTTTTCCCCCTCCACTTGCTACATGGTTATGCATTGTTTTTAAAACAGATCCCCCCCCCTTTTTATTTTTTTTTGGTAAGATCATAAAAGGGGGACGAGAAGACTGGGCAGGCCGGGGTGAGGTGGGGAACGGAGGCACTTCCTACCTCCTCTCCCGGCCGTTGCCCAGCTTCATTCCCAGGGGTTGGAGAGTGAGAAGTGGAAGCGAATCGAGGGGCTGATGGTTCCTGTGAAGTACTCGGTAGGTCAGTCCTCACCAGGCACAGAGGTGATGGGGCGGGGGTAGTTACTTGTCCGCTTAAAAAATGTCTTGTAACCATTACTTATATGCTAAATATCCTTGGACAATGAATAGATCCAGAAAGAAAAAAAATCATGCTTTCTCTGTGTACCTATTGTATGTGCTAAACGTATTAGAGAAATTTATATACTTTTTACCACGTTGGGGGCGGAGGGTGAAGCCCTGTTTGGACTTGCTAAGAATGGGGGGTCACACAGCCCTTTGGCGCTGGGCATCGCATCTCCCTCCCCCTCCCTCCCCCTCCCCCAACCTAGTATACTTTATCCCTTTGAAAGGGTGCCTTGTATAATTTTATATATTTTATTGAAGAGTTATTTCTTATCTCTTATTCCAAATTAAATTAAACATTTGTTTTATTGCAGTAAATTTTGTCCAAACTAACTTATTTTGAGAGGCTTTCTCTCTCTGTTCTTAGTTGGGCTTTAGCTCAAAAATACAAAAATACCACCTAAAGGGGTGGTGGGGGGGAGACGGTGATTTTTATTACTATTTCAATGTGAATCAGTCAAGAGCTGTGGCCCGGATTCAGGGGGAGGGGGAGCCCATTGAAGAGCAGCTTGGGTTACTGTCGGAAAAGAAGCGGAGCTTTTCACACGCTTGTGACAGATGAGCTCAGCGGTGGTGGGGGCCGAGGGACCAGCCAGCATCTGGGCGCTTTGTAGACGGTCAAGGGAAATCTTGAACTTGAAATTTTCTGTCTACCACAAGAACAACAAACTGAAAGCCGAAGAACCTATGGCTCCTTGCAAATGGTGATGGTTACTAGGTGCTTTCACGGGGTGGGGCGGGGGAGGGGCTGCTCTCAAGAGGGCGGCAAATCAGCCTCCCTTTACCATCCCAGCTTCTTCCCAGAAGAGGGACCCGAACAAATACTCGTTTCTGAGGCTCGAAGGGGGACGGTGCTTCATTCAAGTCGGCTTTGCTTTCCAGCCTCTTTCCACAGGGTGCAGGATGGAGGCCAGGCCTGGGCTTTGAGGCGTCACCCTTAAAATAGATTGGCAATGGGTAGGGGAGGCTGACACGCATCTTAACATTCTGCCTCCTGTGGCACAAACAAGTGAGAAGTGGCCACCGGTGCATCACACCTTCCTGAGATCCCATGAGAAGCTCCTGGGGCCCTGGAGCTGGTGGCTGAAGGAGAACCTGCTGCTGAGCTTGCGCAGTGGGCACATGGGCACCTGGCACCTACTAAGGACGAGTGTTTTCATCCCCCGTGGTCTTCTTGCCGAAGCCCAGGGGGGAGGTCGGGCAGTGGCCGCCCCCAGGGGTCAGGCATGAGTCTCAGAGGTCTCAGCCCCAGCGTCAAGGGGCCCAAAGCCAGGGTCTGCCCCGAGCTGGGGCCGATTTGCACTGCGCTGCTCCTCTGTTCTGGGCAGAGCCCCCGGAGCACCCCGGACCTCCCCAAGGCAGCGCCTTTGCTGTGCCACCGGGCCTCCCCGGCCTAGAACCCAGCCTCCCTCATTTGAGGGATGCGTTTGCCAAAGGCCAGAGCCCAGAGCCTTTCCCAGTTTCACCATCAGCCTCCAAGTTGGGTCCCCAATTAGCCCGTCCACCAAGCTTCCTTCCTGTCTGGGACCGGGCAGCCTCGGGCAATCCGAGTAGGGGCGGGGCGGGGGGGGCGTCGGGAGACTCCCGCTCGGGTTAAAACGAGGCTTGCCCCCCGGAGGAGGGGGTCGTTAACAAGCGTGTGATTCAGAGAAACGGGGCTGCGTCCTGCGTGGTCATGGGGCGGGTTGGAGGCCACTTGGGCGACTGCACATTATGCAGAAAGCCCCACATCCCAATGGAAAACAGGCCTGCAGAAGGGGAGGAGTTGCTGAGCATCAAACATGTGCACCCCTGCTCTGCTAGTGGATGGGGTTACCGAGTTGAGGACTGAGCGGGTCGCGGCCCAGACCTTGGCCAGAGGTCCACAGCCCGCGGTGTGCCTGGCTCTGGAGTTCCCTCCAGTCTCCTGCCCCGAGCTGGGTCGGCCGCCCCGCGGTCCCTGCGCCGGGAAGGCTTGGCGTGCTTCAGACACCAGACCTGCAGCCTGAGGTGGTGGCAGAAGGACCCTGGCTCATCAAGGACCCGCGCAGCCCTGCCTTGGAAATCGAGCCGAAGAGGCCCAGGTGCCGGCTTTGGACATCCTCGCAGGAGCTGCCGGGGGCCTGGCGCCAGATCCACTCACCTCCCATGCTTTCAATGCTTTCTGCCAAAATTGCCCCAAAAGACAGCTCTGCTTTCGGAAACGAGGGGGAAAAGGAGAGGGAATCACCTTTTCTGAGCTCCTGTGAAGTACGGAACCCGGCATTCTCTCCTACATCCCACTTAGTCCTTGCATACCCTGTGGAGGGCATTACCCTGCACATTACAGTTGAGGAAACTGAGGCTCAGAGAGGTGGCTCCCAAGGGCCCAGAGCCGGTAAGCGGCAGCCTCTGAACTCAGCCCGTGGGGAGCAGGAGGGTTGGCAAAGGCAGGCCACGCCGGAGCCTTCTCAGACCTGAACGGGTCTGCAGACCCCTCCAGACCCTGAGACCCTGAGAGCCCAGGCCTGGGGCCTCTCCCTGCACCCCCTTTTCCGCCCCTTATTGCTGTGGGGGCTTCCCTCCGAGGCCCCAAGCACTCTCTCTCCAGGGACCGGAGGCTTAGCCTGCCCAGCCCGCCGGCTGGAGCTGCGGGGAGGCGGCACCCGGCAGGGCCTGCAGGTAGGCAGGGGAGGCCTGGCTGAGCACAGGGGCAGGCAGACCGGCTGCCTGACCCGACTGAAAAGAGGAGCCCTGCCTTTGAGCAGAACCTTGTCTGTCCCAGTGAAAACTCCGAAGGCCATTCTTTGCTATAAAAGCCGCTCATTTGCCACGGGTTGGAGAGGCTGTTCCCCCACCCCCTCTCCACCACTGGGTTTGGAATAAACATAAACCTCATGTATAAAAGAACCCACGCCACACACACACACACACACACACACACCCTCCTCGAAATCACAGGGGCCCGGGTGGTGAACTTGATTACGCCCGTTCCCCCCTTCAATGTTAAGTAAAACAATTTTTTCCAGATTGGTGATGCTGCGGGCATCTTTAATGAAGCTGGTCAGGGAGCAACGAGGAAAAGTCAGCTGTCAGCTCCTGGACCCCGCTACCCCTCTCCCGCCCCTGCACCCCTCTCACCTCCTCCCTGCTAGGAACTAAATAAAAAGCAGGAAAATTACTTTCCAAAATAGCCCTGCTTCAAAGCAGAACGGGGGACCAGGCTGCGGGAATCCTGAACCCTGCCCTGATAAGGTTCATAATAATCAAATCCAAACTCCATCCACCTCTTCTGACTCTTTCCAACCTCCTCCGGACCCCTCCGCATTTGTTGATGAAAACACTTTGATGTCCCAAACAATTATTATTATAATTTTAAACAACCTGGTATTTTCCATTACTAACGGCTCGGGCTTTGAAGTTACACCTCATAATTTCCTAAATTAAATAAATCATTTTAAGTTTGCACTGGGAGGCTTTTAATAGCAGAGAAAGGAATATCATTATCTTATTGAGACCCAATTGAGGCGGCTCCAGTTTGGCTGTAGCTGGGGGCAAAGTAGACTCACTCTAGCAGACATACTTTATTAACCTCCCATAACTCTTGAAAGAACATTTTTATATTTTCTTTGATTTCCCCCCTCCCTCTCTTGTTTTAAAGCTGTCCCAACCTTTAATTAGTGCCTAATATGAAAAGCATTATTTTTTTAATGCTATGTAATTTACCAGCGGCAACAGGCCAACTTAACAATTGTTTATTAGACTTGGTTTTTCACACAGGGCAAAGAATGCCGTTCCAAACCCAACTTTTCATGGGTGGTTGCACTAATTAATACAGTGTCTGAGGCTCCTAGGGGGTTTTTTAATATTGAAGCCTATGGGGGCGGAAGGGGGTTTCAGAAGTCCGGCCGCTGCCGACGTGCTCCCTCTGATTTCTTTCATGCTGTTCTGAGCCTGTCTGCGGACTCCGCACAGACAGAAACTGTTCCCTGCCTCCAGAGACTCCAGGAAACCCCGGGCAAAGGCCCGGGAACCCCTTGCGCCTCCGACGTGTGATTTATAGCGTGGGGAGGGCACCCAGGCTTGGG